TATGAACTGGCCGTTCCGAGCAACAGCTTCTTGTGATCCTCTTAAAATAACAATTAAAGGTAAGAGAGTTTAATTTCATTCTTATTAAGAATATAAAGTCCAATCATTAGCAGTTTAAACATCAAAAAGCATTATGGTCAAATAAAGAGGCTGATATCACTCTGTTTATTTGCCCACAACTGTAAAGTGAACTGGAATGCAGAATATTATAATAATATTATAATAATATTATATTTTGTATTCTTTATTGTGAACAGTAAAATTGGGATTCATTCAAAAATACCTTTAAAAAGTATTTAACAGTGCTCTGCAGTAAATATAGGTTTTAAAAATCTGTACTGCACACTGTCAACAGATATATTTACCACATATTACTCAAACCTCCTTGAGGTCAATACCAGTTGTTCAGAAGACCTTAATCAGCTTGTGCAAAGCCCTTAAAAATGAACACAACTTCAGCAAAACTGCAAGAAAACTGAAAATTAAAAATCAAAGAGAAGAAATCATTCAAATGAATAAGTAGTGACTCCTTCACAAGCTACTGCTGCATCAACACAAACTAACTTCCTGACACAAATCTATCTTTACATCTCTTTCCCAACATTCCCTGCACTTAGAGGGGACGCAAAAGGAGAAATCCTTTCTGTTAGTGATTAAAAACTTAAACAGTTTTTGCATATTTGTCACTTCTGCATGTTTGAAATGAAATAAAGTTCACGATTAAACAAATATAACCTAAGTAAATTTAAACATTCACTTTTTAATGGTCATTTTATGTATTTGGGGACATCCAGGGTTTAGGCAGACCTATCTGACCCTGTATGAAAAATGGCACTTTCTTTAAAAACACATCACAACCACATTTTCCAAAATTTTCAAAGCAAGACCAAAGCATTACATTTTTAGGGGGATGTAAGCCTGAGTTTGTTTGTTCTTTTTTTTTTCTTGCTGGTGCGTTTTGGACCTTTGTCCTGCTGCATAACCCAAGTGAGCTTCAGGGCACAAACAATTGGCTGGAGATTTTTCTTCAGAATTTTCTGGTAGAGATCAGAGTTCATGGTTCCATCAATTAGGGAAAATCATCCTGAAGCAGCCTCAGACTGTCACACAACCACCACAATGTTTGATTGTTGGTATAATGTTCTCTTGATGAAATGCTTTGTTAGTTTTATGCCCATTGTAACAGGAAATTTCAAGTTTCATCTTGTTACTCGAAAGAGTATTTTTGGCAGATGTAAGTTGTGCCTTTGTGTTCTGTTAGCTCTATTTATTTTCTCCTTAAACTTTCCCATGGAGACCATTTATTGCCCAGTTGCGTATTCTTATTTTTGAATCATGAACTCTGACCCTAACTGAGAAAAGGGAGGCCTGCAGTTCTTTGGATGATGTTCTGGGGTCTTTTGTGAACTCCTGGATGAATCATAAATACACTCTTGAGTAATTTTGGAAGGTTGGCAAGAAACTTCACCACTGTTCCAGATTTTCTCCATTTTGTGGATAATGGTTCTCACTGTGGTTCATGCGGCATCACAAAGCCTTAGAAATGCTTTTGTAATCCTTTCAGCCTATAATATGTCAATGACTTTGTTTCTCAGCTGGGTCTTTAAATCATGGAATAATGTGCTGCTGTTTGAGGAGTAGTCTGGGAGTAGTCAGTAATTGTCACATCTTGTATTGTTTTTATTCAATGTTGTCACGTTTTTCTATCCTTTTCTTGACGGTATTATCAGTGTACAAACTGTGTTTAATGTGAAACCACAGATTCTCCTTGGAGGCCCAATATTACAATCCCAGGTGATCTGAAGGAGAAGGAGTCTGTCACTATAACCTGCTCAGCTCTCACTCCCTGTCCACACTCCCCTCCTCAACTCACCTGGAATCTCCAACAAGACTCTCACAACGAAATAGAGGAAAACACAGATGGAAGCTTTACAACTAAAATCCAGCAGACCATCACTCTGTCAGACACACATGAAGGAAAGAAGATCAGCTGCTCTGCCAGATATCCTGTGAACCAAGGAAACGACACCAAGACAGCAGAGACAGAAGAGACTCTCAGTGTTTCATGTAAGACAATCAGAGTTTGTTGTTGAACTGAATCCCATCGGACAACATGATTTATGTTTTTCTCTCCAGATGCTCCTAAAGACACCTCAGCATCCATCAGTCCATCAGGTTTGGTGTCAGCAGGCAGCTGGGTGAAGCTGACCTGCTCCAGCAGAGCCAAACCTCCAGTCAGCAACTTCACCTGGTTCAAGAAGAGCAGAGATGGAGCTGTGAAAGTATTTGAAGGAGAGATTTACAGCTTCAATGTAACAGATGGAGGAGTTTATTACTGTGTGGCAACTAATGATCTGGGTAATCAGACATCAGCAGAGATTAACGTGACTGTTGGAGGTAAAGGCTAAAGTCATAAATGTGTTAGATATTCTCCAAAATTTTCCTTTTTTTCTTTTTCTTTCATCTAACTTCAGGTTGTGAACAAGAACAGCCTGGATCAATGAGTCAACATTAAATCATGCTTTATTTGTTTTTTACTTGCTGTTTTCTGTAGGTCATGTTTCATCCCAGTGTCCACGTATAGGAGGAATCATTGGAATCATTGTACTCTTAATCTTACTCTGTTTGATTGTCTTTACTTGGTAAGTATCGTCTATCTAAGCAAAACACATGAGTCAGTTAGTTAATTTTATTTTTACCTTATAATAAAGACTGTTTTTTCCATCACACTTGACTTTGCTCAAATATATATTTAAATTAAAACAGAATATAGTTAATACAACTGTCTCTAACGTCTTCCAGGTGGTTGAAGTCAAAGCATCAAACTCAACAACAGACTCAGGTAAGAAAACTGAAATACAACACTACCTGTAGTGTTACCTGACTCTTCAGATAAGTATTTATTGTAATACTTCTATCAGAGCAGTCTAACTATTTAACACTTTTGTTGTCTTCACATTCTATACATAGCTGTTGCTCTCAGGGTCAGAATTGTCCCATTATCACCAAAGATCTAAAATAAAGCCATTTAATTTTAAATGCCAACACCATTTTGCATGGAAAAAACCTGTATGTGAATACCAGAGTTTTCCTTTTTCACAGTGCAGAATGACTGCATTCATCCAGTTGCAACCACTCATTATTATCTTAAGAAAGCTGCCACATTATGTGTTTATCTACAGCAACACATAACAAACATTTATATCTGAATGGAACCAGCTGCCTGTTGGGTGTTACTTCAGTGCTAGGGTTGTAGAGTTATGGCAGCCACTTCACTCAGTTGTCCCAGACCTCGCTTACGGCGGGGCATTAGTATATCTGGAATGTGTTTACAATGCTTCACTTGTCACACGCCTTATTCCTAAATGGACTGATCCATATCTGCCATCTCCAGAATGGCATGTTGTTTTCTGATAGCTAGTGAGATTACCAGATGAAATGTTTGGACAATTTACTCAAAGGGGAAACTGCATATATTTTGGGTCGTAGAGTCATCTCTGTGACATTTAGTGGTGCCATGCTCCCCTAGTTGTCATATGATGGTGTGGATTATGTTATCTTGCCATTTTTTGTTATACCCTTTGAATTTGAAAAACCAACATCTAAGGGGTTTTCTGTTGTTAAACACATTTTAATGCCATTTTTGAAACAAGGAAAAAAGGAAGGTTAATGTAAAATGTCTAAAAACATGAATAAGAATAGACCCAACTCACAGAATCATAGAACCTTCTGCTGTTTTATTTCAACAGATTCAAATAACTGAACATCGGGTTGATGAAGAGCCAGCAAGTAAAACAGAAGGAGAGGAAGAAAACATCCATTATGGAGAGATCAATTTCTCTACGCTGGGATACGAAGTGCCCTCTGACTCAGTGCGGGACAGAGGTGAGCAGCAGGATACGGTGTACGCACAGGTCAACAAGCCAGAAAACAGCTCAACACAGAGTGCTCATGGCCAAGAGGAACTTTTTCCTGAAGAAAAATTGAGAACTGTAGTGGAATAACAAGAAGAAACTCGTCCAAATGACTGCAAGGAAACTCTGTTACTCTGATTTCTGGGTAACATCCATCCCTACTTTACCTTCCACCATTTAATCCTCCCCTCCACCTTCCATCTTCTTGAGTTCCAAAGTCCTCCTACAGACTACCCAATGATGCTGCCTACCTGCATTCTCCTCCGACACCACCTCACTGTCTCCTGTCTCTTTTCAGATTGCAACTTCTGTCCACATGTGTACAACTTCCTCCACTTTTATTCATCATCTTATATTCCTCCTCCTTCCTGAAGTAGATGTCAACCACAGCTATTTCAGTCCTGTTCATAAAATCCACTATTTGTCCTTCTCTTCTTAAGACCATACTTACCCTAAATCTCTTCATAGCCCTTTTTAACTTCACCTAATAGGTCATGGGAATTTCTTTTTCTACTGACATCCAACCTGTGGGGAATACACACTGACAACAGCAAGACATCACAATTACCATGAATTCCAGGATTAAATGATTCTAATCCCTTTTCTTCAGCATTTTAAAAAAGTCAGCATGCTGCATTAATAAAATAAATACTGCAGATTCACACCACCAGGTGGTGATGACCTGACATCTCTGCTACACTTTTTATCCAAGTGTTTGGATAAAACACATTTGCAGTTTTTTGATACTTTTCCTTAATCCTTCGATGTTAAATGCATCTCACTGTGTTGAATGAGTGTTTAGGATAATTATTTTGTATGTCTTGCTTTGTGGTACATAAGAATGAATGAGATTTGAAAAATAAAATGTAATATTGTTACACCTTGTGAGTCCATATGTGTCTTACTTTAATATGGAAAAATGCCTACCATTTATAATCTGGAACAAAATAAATAAATAAAATAACCCCAAACCAACTGCAGAATCATTGGTCGCTGTTTTATTTTGTATTCTGACTGAAAGACCCTGATGATATGTGGAATTACTGGAATTCTTTGTATTTCTAGGACAGCTTGACTCTGAGGAAGTTCTTTCACAGAGTTTATTCACAGAGTGTAAAAAAGTTCAGTGAAGAAGATGTTGATGAATGTCAGACTTTGCAGTTAAACACTTATAAATTTAACACGTGTGTCTTAGGCATTTTTTAGTCAGCAAAGCTTTCCACAACATCAAGCAAATAAAATCCAAGAATTTGAATAAAAGATTTAATAATTACATTAATTCCAGTTGTTGTAATGTATTGCCACTTCACATTTGCAAATGTAAAGAACACAAAATACAACTTATTAACTGCTTAATTTCATAATTGTATTGTACATATACAATTAAAATAAAGGGTTATTCTATTCTATTTGATAAGGCAGAGTTCTTAATTTAATATTTTTTAATAAAACATGCTTTAATGGCAACCCCTTAATTTTCACTAACATTTTGGCAAAATCCCACTTTGTCAAAAATTGTACTTAGTTTATTATTGTGTGATGAATCAGAAGTATCACAGTATTGCATTTGATCTTTACAGAATTGCTTTCAGGATGGTTTTGTTGCATTTGGACATCATTTGAACAACATCTTTGTTAACTCTGATACATTTATACCAAGATATCTAACATACAAATAAATCACAGGAGAGCACACACAGCATCTGAGCATGGAAAAACTGTATAAACATGATCATAAACAAAGGAGCTATATTTAATCACCAGGAAGAAATAAACAGCAGTTAAATTGAGTACAGTATTTAATTTAGATTTGAGAAAAATTAAATGTGATTTGAAACAAATATTTTTAATGTGCAGGTAACATATTTGTGTCAGCAACTTTTTTTCTGTTTTCTGCTTTGAAGTGTGATACTTACCAAACAAAAACCATTAAGCAGAATAACATTACAGAAGTAAGAGGTCAACAATCCCAATGATTCCACCAATAAGTGGCCACAGTGTGACTTCAGATGAAATGAGACCTAAAGAAAAGATCAAGTAACAACAATTAATTTTGCATGGACACAAAGAAAAACTCATTTGAGAACAGATCTTGGCTACAGCTGTTACCTGCAACAGTCACACGAATCACTGCTGATGTCTGATTACCCAGATCATTAGTGGCCACACAGTAATAAACTCCTCCATCTGTTACATTGAAGCTGTAAATCTCTCCTTCAGATGCTTTCACAGCTCCATCTCTGCTCTTCTTGAACCAGGTGAAGTTGCTGACTGGAGGTTTGGCTCTGCTGAAGCAGGTCAGGTTCACCCAGCTGCCTGCTGACACCAAACCTGATGGACTGATGGATGCTGAGGTGTCTTTAGGAGCATCTGGAGAAAAAAAAATGAAGTCCTTTAAACATTTTTTTAATGACAGGATAAAAAAAAACAACCAAACAACGAGTGTCTTACATGAAACACTGAGAGTCTCTTCTGTCTCTGCTGTCTTGGTGTCGTTTCCTTGGTTCACAGGATATCTGGCAGAGCAGCTGATCTTCTTTCCATCATGTGTGTCTGACAGAGTGATGTTCTGCTGGATTTTAGTTGTAAAGCTTCCATCTGTGTTTTTCTCTATTTTGTTGTGAGAGTCTTGTTGGAGATTCCAGGTGAGTTGAGGAGGGGAGTGTGGACAGGGAGTGAGAGCTGAGCAGGTTATAGTGACAGACTCCTTCTCCTTCAGATCACCTTGGATTGTAATATTGGGCCTCCAAGGAGAATCTGTGGTTTCACATGAAACATTTCGTTACACCAATAACGCAGGAAATAGAGTCAAGAAAAAGATGCAGATCAGTGATACCATTGGATAATAAAAAATATACACCGTATGTAGTGGACAAAAAGTATTTGCATACATTTTTAACATGTTTTTAATTTTTCGTGGTTCTCTAAATATGTTTGAAGAACTAAAAAAATGTGTGTAAAAAAGTAAATAAGATATTGTACAAAATACCATTGCAAACTATGTTATGATTTTCAATCGCTGTCAGAGAACAATGCTCTTTTTGTATCTCATTGTAAGCACAGGCAATAGTGGAGAACAGAGAGAATCGCAGTAGGATTCTAGTTTGTGATGACCATTAGTTATTTTCCTTTGAAATCAACTTGTTATACAAACATGAATATGCATTCACATTGTGTATTTTGCATTATTGCATTCATGCTTTAACTGATATTTTAATTTGTTGCTTTGAGTTTTACTAGAAGGAGCCACTAAGAGTTTTTTCTTCATTTGCATGATTTTTTTCGATTTTTAATTTTCTGTTTTCTTGCAGTTTTGCTGAAGGCTTGTTCATTTTTAAGGGCTTTGCACAAGTAGCAAAACTTGTGCAAAGCTGTTAACAGTGTGAAATATAGTTCGTATTTTAGGTTTTAAAAACTGTGTTTACTATACACTGTAAAATAAATTGTAATATAAAAGTATTTTACTGTGTATTTTACAGTTTTGCACTGTTCTTCTAGAACATCATTAAATTTACATCAATAGACTGTGATTTTACATTTCAAATGTAAATTAACGTAAAATCACTGTAAATCTAATAAAACATAATTTTCTTGTTTTTTAAATGCATGTCTGTACATATGCATACTTAGATTGTTAAAATACATTCACAAATGTATCATCATTTCACCAATATTTGTCCGTTATTTGAAAGATTGAACTGTTAAATTCAAATGTAATGCTATGGAAAAATATATAAAATGATTCTTATAAACTTTTTTTATATCAAATAATAATTATTATTATTGTTACTTAGGGCGATCGTGGCTCAAGAGTTGGCAGTTCGCCTTGTAATCAGAAGGTTGCCACTTCGAGCCCCAGCTCAGAGACTCTCGGTCGTTGTGTGCTCGGGCAAGACATTTCACCTACCACGTACTGGTGATGGCCAGAGGGGAATTATAAAGTGGAATTGTAAAGCACTATATGAATGCAATCAATTATTATTTAAACCAACTGTTAACTGTATATTTTTGTACATTTCAGTATTATTATTCATATTGCCGCATTCATTGACCTTGTTTATAGGTAATTTCATTGTTTAATCACGTTAAAATGTTCTTAATTTAATGTTTAAAAGCACTTGAAAAAGGCAAAATCCCATGTAAAATTAGGCAACAAACTGTATTGTCATTACTGAAAATAACCGTATTTTTATGAGAAAGTTATTTTCTGTTATTTTCTGGTATTATTTTGGCTCCCCAGCTGCCGGAATATTACTTTTTTTTAGGATTTTTTTTTTTTTAATGGTGTAGAGCACTTTTGAACACATTATGAATTGTTTTTTTTTTCATCCCCCATGTCTTTGTTTCTCATGAAATGAAGTTACAATTTTCCATTACAAATCAATTAAACAGGTTGATTTGCACATTTGACCACAACTGCTTTGTGTTGTTTACACAAAAGTTGTAGCTGTTTAGGATTTATGTTCTTAATAAATTGAAAGAAAACTTTCTCACCTTTAATTGTTATTTTAAGAGGATCACAAACAGCTGTTGCTCTGTAGGGCCAGTTCATAATTCTGAAGTAGTATGTGTTTGTATAATTTGTGGTTAAATTGGAAAACAGAGTGGTGCAGTGTTTCTCCTTCAGGTTTCCTGTAATGTTCATTGGATAGATGTTAACTGTCCCACTGCTGTTGAAGATCTCATTGTTTGGATGTGCAAAAATATCAGAATGATTTTTAATCCACACTCCAAACACAGGTCTTGTGCTGTCAACCTTTTCTGTTCCAATTTCACTAAAGTTACATGGGATTTGTAAACAAGATCCACTCAGAGCTTCCATCTCTGTTGGTGCAGTGATGAACAGGTGTGAATCTTGAGGACAAGCAGCCAAAGTGCCTGGAAAAGGTAAGAGCTAAATTAAAAGGTGCAAATCTGAATGAAGATAAAAATTATAATGACAAAATCAACTCCAAGAGCCATGGATTTACTTCGTAAAGTATATCTATCTTCACTGATCTTTCAGACTATAAATGACTGTAATGAGACGGCTCACTTGGAATAAGGAGGAGACTCAGTAACATGATGTCTGTCATGATGTTCACAGACTGGACTGTCACAAAACTCATCACCTGGAAAAAAAATATAAAAAGCCATAATTAGACAAATAAAAGATTAAAACAGAAAATCATGTCACAAATTTCTAAACCTAAGGAGTAAATTTAGGCAGTTACTTTTTAGAGTATTATACAATTTTATATAATTACTATATGTAAAAAAAAAAAGTCTTACCAAATGATCAGGCTGCTACAGAGGAGAGACGACAACGTAAAAGTCAATGTGTGATTTTAGCAGAAACAGAGTGAGTGAAACACTTCTCAGTTTAGATGTTGTAATGTCAAAGCAAACAGGCCTGTGATGCTTTGGGCTTTCTGTCGTTCTTTATTCAGTCAGTCTTTTTATGTTCCCATCATGCACTCTGCTGACACTTCAGATGCTGCCACTCCCACCTGTCACCTGTCCTGACCCTCCTCTCACATTTTAACGTGTTCCTCATTCCCTCAAAATGTCCCTCATACATAAAGCTGCTCATTTCCATCAGTTGTCTTTTTACTTGTCTTTGTCTGAGCTTTCCAAAGATGTCCAAAGATTTTGTTACGTCTGGTTCAGTTTGGGTAAGAAGGAAAAACAGCCGAGTCCGTGTAGGTGACAAACATAGTGATTTTATTACATGCTTCTAAGACAGAAGCATGGGAAGACAAGCGTACAGCCACAGATCTCCAAAGAGTGGACCGTTCCCCATCCTTATATAACCCATCACACAGTTAGACCTTACTGGAAATGATAACAGTCTCCCCATAGTCCAAAGTTCTCTTTATACAAACATCAGATGATACTTTAGAGAAAAACAAGTGTGTGACATGGCATGTTGTGCAGTTCTGTGAGCCTGTGTGTCCAACTAGAGAATGTCCTGACATGACCTCCCTGTGTAAATAAGGGTAAACGTGCGTGTTTACATAACTCTCTATGTGCATGTTCTGATGTAGGCCTGCAAATGAATTAGAACAAGGTCCTGCTGGACCCTCCAGTTATGGACGGTGAATACAATGCTGTGGATACCATTTGAGACTTGATTACAATGATGATAACCTGCATACATTAATCTTTACTCAGATTACCATAAATATAAAACAAAGATTATACTGTCCTCAGATTCCACAATGATAAATGATTAATGATTGATACTTCTAATTATAACTGTGATCATAAGAATACAAAATAAAATATCTCCTGGTCACAATTTCCAATTTTTTTATTCCTGCCAATTCTGAGCTTCATTTTCTGTGACCACTGGCTACTTTGACCTTTGCATACTTGTTTAATAACGTAAATTTAGACTTTTCATTTTATATCCCACTCCTGAGTTGTACTCTTAGTCCATAGATCTGATCACTTAAGACAATAAAATAAAAGTCTCACTTTTCTGTGAATAATAAAGTGCGAACTCAAGTTCATTACAGTATGTGTATGTGAGTACATCCTGCAAAGGCTGCCAGTCTATCTCATGGCAGTTAACCATTCAGGCTCACATTCACAGCTATCTAAATCACCAGTTAATCTACTGGTCTACACTATCTGCATGTCTTTGTATTGTGTAATGAAGCTGGAGTACCCAGAAAGAACTCACAGACAGGCCCTGGCTGGATGGTGGATTCATACTCACGGCCTTCTCGTTGTGAGGCAGTGGTTAGTGTCTGTGTAACTGTTTTATCATACTGTTTTATCACACTTTTAATATATTTACAGAGGTGCTTTTTATGCTAGCCTCCCTGCAGTCATTTGGACAAGTTTCTTGTTATTTAAGACATTTATTTCCATCTTCTTCTATCCTCCTCTGTCCTGTGGCAGTCAAATCCCAGCACAGAGCAGCTGATCTCTTCATAGTTTTCTTCCTCTGCTTCTTTTTTAATTGACAGTTCTTAAGTAACCTGCTCTTCATTTATTTCATACAAGAAAATAAATCATAGATGATCTATCATATAGACCTTCTAATTTTGTAACCACCTGTTAGATATTTTAAAGTAAAAGAACAGATTGCTCAGGTACAGGTACTATAGTAAAAAAAAAAAACGATCTGAAGAGAGAAGGAGAAGTCTGTTGAGCTTGATGCTTTAGCTTTTACTACCTGTAAGTCCAGAGAGAATTTCTCCTTCTTTATCTGGGACTGGAGACTTTTCCTTGTTCCCATCTTGAGACAATATCTCACATTTTGACTGTTTCTGCAGGACACTCACTTTTCCGAAGTCTGGTTTTTAATCTCCACTTGGGAAAACAACTTGTGCCCTTTGGGTAGTGACAGATTCCTAGAAATTAGCTGCCTCTGATAGCTCTGGTAGCTGGCTTCGTCTTTAGAGATAGGGCAAAGAGCGGGTCCATTCAAGAGGGGCTCAGTGTAGAGCCACTTTTTCACCATATCAAAAGAAGCCAGTTGAGGCGGTTCAGGCATGTGACTAGCATGCCTGCAGTGGACCTTTTGGGTGGGGTAGAACCCAGGTACTCTGGAGAGATTTGGCTGGATAGATATAGGTATATAGCATGTGTCACTTTGAGTTTGATTGATGCCTTTGACCTTGGGACTTTCCCACCTGTCACCTGACTTGAAGTTTTGTTGCATCACTGTTCTGGGTAATACACCAGATCAGGGATGCATCAGAATCTTCGGTCAAAGCACATATGGCTGCTTATAGACACAGATTGATCATGGTAGTTAGCCTGCTTCTGTCAATTTTTCCTATGTTTTCTGTTAAGTAAGTGTAGGTGGCAGCTGGCCATTAGTTGGAGCTTGGAGGAGGCAACTTTAAACTGGGACCTGACATGACTGGCATTGCTCTGCTTAGTTCCTACTGCAGTGATCCTGTTGCTTCTACTCATACTATCCTATTCTGTTATCTTGTAATATTGTACATACGTCAAAGGTTTAACTGACTGATGAAATACACATTGCTACACATATTATGCACATTATCAGACACATTATTAACTTTCTAAGCTTATTGAATACAAAGTATTCAGCAGCAGTCATGATAAGAAAGCGGCTTGATTTAACAAAGGAAAACTTTCTTCTTGCTCCATGATCAACCTCCAACTGTTAAATGTTTACTCAATATTACTGCAATGTAACAACAAAGTCAGTTTTTTCTAAACCCAAAACATCCCTTTCACATTCCCATAGACTGGGGTTGTCACCGAATTAGCTTCTGTGAGAAAAAAAAAGGCTTTAGGTACTGACTTGCTTTTAGAACCAGCCTTAAGTGGCCTTTAGAGAAACTACAGTTTTTACTGTATAAAATATCTTACACTACAGTTTTTACTGTAGTGTAAAAACTGTAGGAATTCCTCCTCTCTATACTTACACTCAATGAGCTCCTCCCTAACAAATGCCAAGTTATTTTCTCCATACTGTTTATATGTGCGTGTAATTTCATCGCAAAAATCCAACATCGGTGTACTCAAGTGCATAAGATGGAAGACAATTAATTCTGAAAAAATACAAACCAAGAGTTGTTTGTTGACAGTATAGTATTTTTTTTAACCTCTTACCACCCACTGGGCCCCTGGTGACAGGTCTAGCCATGTCAGATGCCAGTCATTTAAGCGACCAATAATTTTTTGGAATTTAAATTGTGCTGACTCACTTTGTTCAGCACAACCCAGAGTAAAATGAAACATAAAACATAGTAGAACTTATTTTGTTAGACACAAGAACAATTCGAGCATCTTTTTTGGGAGCCAAGCCCAGGCTTAAAAGTTTTGCCGTACCCCTGGGACCAGCGCAAAGTTGTGTGGCAGGTCCTGGCATGGAAGCTGAGGGTCCAGCCAGCCGGAGAAAAGACCGGTTGATGCCTGGATGTGCATTGGAGCCGCACTACCCCCACAGCGCAGACTTTGCTACCTGCACAGAGCGTTTCAGGTGTTGCTTATGCAAAAGAGAATTGCAACAATACAGCGTGTTTCTCTACTTCAAGACGCCTGCAACCTTTCACACAGTAAGCATGTCTGTTATAGCCTGCGCTTCATAAATGTCTGTTTGATTATTCAAACCTGGTTTAAAACGTGACTCATTTGTTGTCCAAAAACCTTTCCTCTTGATATGGAAAGTTACTGATTTAAAAATATATGTATATTTTCAAGTTTTTAGCTGGATGTGAAACATATGATAAACTCTTGAGCATATTTATATTGCAAAATCCATAATGGTTATGGCAAAATCTTTACCATAGATCATTTATAGGGGACAAAAAAAAAAAGAGGAAAGGAGGATAAAGTGTCACTTCAGCAAAGCTGCTGGGAGACAGAAGTGTTCACACGTTTTTAACAAAAGGCTTAAAACACAAAACTCTAATATCAGTTACAACTGGTAAGATGATGAGTTTTACTTCTCACTGTTCACATTATGGTATGCTACTTTTGCTCTGTGGGACTGCAAAAATGTCTTTGTATTGATGGTATAAACCAGACTTTCTACTTTTAACTGTTTTTTCTTCTTTTGTTCACTCCTAGGCTGATAAAAAATCCAAAGACATTCGCTAACCACAAACACAGAACCCACTAACTAAATAACTATTAGCCTTACCTTCTGCTTGGATTTTAGATGTATTCCTCATGTTTACAGTCAGTCTACAATATAGGAGTTGCTGCTTACACCCTGAGTTACACAATGAGTCTTTCAGATGTCCACAATGGAATAACCAGCTGCACACGTAGTTACACTGGACACCACATGGTCTTATCTTTATTAGCCCTCGACTCAGCTGCAACGTGCTTACAGTTAGTTACGGGGTTTAGTTTCCTTTTCATCAGAATTATCTGCCTTCATCCAGACATAAGTTGAGCAATGGTTTTTACCAATTTCTCATTAAATCATAAAAGGAAGCTGGATTTAAAAAGAACATGGGATGTAAGTTAAGGAAATACAAATATAAGTGTGACTATGGAGCACATCTCCTTCAGCGTTCATGATGACCCAAGTGGATGACATCAGGTGTTTCTCTCAGTCAGCTGACCAACTGTCTAGGGAAAAAATCAGCTAATAGTTATTTAGCTAGTGGGTTCTGTGTTTGTGGTTAGTGGATGTCTTTGAATTTTTTATCAACCTAGGAGTGAACAAAAGAAGAAAAAACAGTAAAGATGTAGACTGTGAAAGTCTGGTTTATACCATCAATACAAAGACATTTTTGCAGTCCCACAGAGCAAAAGTAGCATACCATAATGTGAACAGTGAGAAGTAAAACTCATCATCTTACCAGTTGTAACTGATATTAGAGTTTTGTGTTTTAAGCCTTTTGTTAAAAACGTGTGAACACTTCTGTCTCCCAGCAGCTTTGCTGAAGTGACACTTTATCCTCCTTTCCTCTTTTTTTTGTTCCCTATTAATGATCTATGGTAATTAATAAAGATTTGTCATATTGTCCCTATAAAACACCATGTTTTTATAGAAATTATTATGATACAGAGATTTAGATTCTTGTTGCACGTTGTGCATGAAGTAAAAAAGTAATTTTATTAAGAGTGAATGTACTTTTATGTTTACCAACAGCTCGCGAAGTCCTCGGTCCAAACTGACTTTATAGTTTATAAATGTCAACTCAGGAAGCTCCTGTCGTGACCTCTCATCTGCAAGCATGCACAAACACACAAACACACACACACACACACACACACACACACACACACACACACACACACACACACACACACACAGATTTGTTTCTCTTTTCATGTATATCCTACTACTAAGATGAGTGATTGAAAAAGAAAAACAGCTGTTTCTATAAAGCAAAAAGGAGAAAAAAAAGATTTCTAAAAAGGGAAATTTATTTTATTTATTTTTATTTTATTTTAATTTTCCTCAAACGTGTCAAATATATATTTTTATGTATATTTAAATGTCCACTGAGCTGTGAGCCATGGGGCGGTAATGCACTTTAACACTGGTTGCCAACCAAGAAGAAGAAGAAGCTATGAGCCAGGAGGGAGGGGGTGAGTGAGAGAGGGATTCGTTTATGCTACGATTCAGCACAGCAAGGGAGGGGGTGAGTAACTCAAATATGCTGTTAGCATGTTAGCTGAGCGATGCTACTGTGAACCGAGGAGCTATTATCTTGATGTGAGTTTCTACTCAGGGTTTTTTTCTTCC